TAGCTACCCATCCCTGACCCCCACCCCCCCCCCCTCACCCCCCCACCCCCCAAACCCCTCCTAAACATCAAGCCCAACCCGGTGGAGCCCAAACAAATGAAAAAAACCAAAAAAAAAATAAATTTGGCCCGAACCGGGCCGGGCCTTGTTATGGGTGACCCGAGCCCGGACCGGAAACCCACCGGGTCGGGCCTACCCGGACCGGTCACTGACCGGGCCACCGGTTCGGGCCGGGCTGGAACAGTACCGGTCCCGGGCCGGTTCCGGGTCGGGCCACCCGGCCCGAGTCCAACCCTATAGATGAACAATCTTTGACATCAAACTTGCCACCTCAAACACCAAAATTCCAACTTGAAGCTTTTTGGGGTTACCTTCATGCTTCCTTGCTGGTTTCCATACACTACGAAACCCACTAGCAACTTAAGAGCCAGATAAGCTGAAATAATAAAGATAACACAGCTCTTAATAATCAGCATATGAATTCGACTGAATTTGAAATCACTATATGTTGCCTTGCTAAATTATGGATAATATCTACACAGCTCTTAGTATTCCCAAGAACTTATCCAAATCGAGAACATAGTTCCAGATTAATCAAAGTTGCATCATCACCTTTGCTCACTTATATTGTTACTTTCTTTTATAAAAAGGGAAAATCATGCCCACAGAAGTAATTTTGACCAAACCACATAAAACACATCATTTCCATAGCAAATGAAACCACTACCTTGAACTACATAAAACACATCATACTCCATCATTGGGAGTATACAATTTCTTACTTCCCAGAACTACAAAATATACAGGGAATTGAAAATAATCTACCTGGTATAGCCTTTTAAGGTTAGTATAAAGAAGATTCAGCGTTTCTACCGTCCACTCAAAGGCAGCACTAAGGTCCACAATAATAGCCTGATCTGAAATCTCTTGGAGTTTGTGTTCCTGTTTGCAAATGAAATTAAATACAAGTATACATAGAAATCATAAACAGAAAATATTTTGTGTGTTTGTGTGTTTCTACCTACATACACTTCATCCGATTTAGACTGCAGATCTTTCTCAAATTCCTTCAAAACCTTCATTTTCCCAGAACATTCGTGATTCGTTGCAGGAGCACATCTTGGAGAAATCAGATTTGGGCGGAAATCTGTCAAGGACATGACAGAGATATTTTATAAGGAATAAATAACCCATTCAATTAATTAACTTATTGGCAGCATTACGATGCAACAAGAATGTACATTCCAAAGATAGCGCTATTAGATTCAACGAAGGTAATAAAAAGCAACTAAATCTGATTAACAAAACAAAAGAGCATTGTAGATAAAAAGATAAATAACTTATCGGAGAATAAGTATTGGAGGCGGAAACTTTTCTAAGTGGTGAGAAGAAGAGAGGTGAAGGGGGAGAAGATTGATGATGTAATGGTAAGAAATTAAAGATAGCTAACGAGGAGAATAAATATCCCAAGGCAGCTGTCGGAAGTTAGAAATAAGTAGCACAGAGTAGCAACCAGTACTTACCAGTGAAACAAGATCCGATTGCTTCACAAAAGCGTTGGACTTGCTCAATGCAAGGTGAAAAGGAGCACAAGACACCATCTTCTTTCAACATTTTCCAACTGAAGTTATGGCAAGCCAAGGTTGAGGGAGATCGAGAAACACTTAATCTACCCTCTTGCAAAATTCCTCAGGAAACCCCTCACCTTGTATGTCTCTTACCCCTACTGTTACCAAACTCTTTAAACCCGTCTTCTCAAAATCCTCTCTACATACAAAACATCTTCAAACATTTACTCTTGCCAAGCTCAAAACGCCCTCCAAATGCTAAATCAAGAAATACTTTTCCATTTATAGATTGCAATGACATCTTATGAACTCAAATATTTAAAGGAAATTGCTCCAAATAGGACAAAAAAACAAATAAATTGCATAAATAATAGGAGTACTTATGTTTTATTCCCAAAATATGACTTTTTTGGTCCTATTACAAGCATAAAATTTACTCAAATAGGGAGTGAATGAATCCTATTTTAGAAAGATATTAGTGGTCCTCTTTGTGCATTTTGACTAAGTTTTAGTCCTATTTAAGGAATTTCCTTTTTATTTAAACATTTTTATAAACTACAGAGTACATGTTAATAGAATTAATTGTTTAAGCTATAAAAGCACTAACACTATATGGTTCTTCAAATAGCTATCCAAACAACACATCAACACACTTTTTTACCAAAACTTAAACCGCAATGTTTAAAGAACAATTCTTATCTTAAAGAAACAGTTACATTCAATCAAACAGTAATGATAGAGTATATCTCCTAGATTCTAGAGAGAAGTGAGAGCTAGAGAGAGAAGTGCAATAATATGCTTCAATAGAATGAATTCGTCACCCCTATAACTACTCCCAAGGGGAGTATTTATAGAGAAAATTAGGGTTGGGCTCCCAAGCCTTGGGCTTGGGAGGCCCATTTACAACTGGACCGCTACTGGGCCGAATACAAAGCCACTAATGGGCTGTACAAGTGAGTAAGTGTAGGATCCGATTCTGGGAGGTCTTCGTGGCCGACGAGGTCGTGGCCGACGAGGTCGTGGCCGACGAGGGCACGGCCGACGGGGGCACCCGGGTTCCTTGGACTCGGGATCATAATCCGGGTTGGCTTCCTCCCGGACGACGGGGGCGTCTTGGCCGACGAGGGCGTTTGGCCGACGAGGGCGCCACTCTGTCTTGTGCTCTGTTCTTCCGAGTATGTGGGTCCTGGGGCTCAGACCCATATACTCCATCAGGAGTCCCCCACTCTCTAAGCTGAGACGTAGACGAAGTGAAGGAGAGTAGATTTCTGTGCTGTTGCTTTTGGCCGACGCGGACATTTCAAGGCCGTTAGCCGTTGTGGCGTTGGCGTTGTTTCCTCTCTGGTGATCCTATTCTGTGCTTTGGCCGTTACCTGTTCCTTGCTGTGGGCGGGGAGGCCGTCATTTCCTTAATGTGTTTTGGGACGATGAGTGTCCTTCCTTCAATGGTGGCCGTTGAGGGCGCGCTTTCCCTTTCCTGGCCGTTGGTGTTTGAAGTTTACGTTTGGGCCGGTGAGGCCGTTGAGGTTGTTCCTTTGTGTTTTTGGCCGAAGAGCCCGTCAAGATTAATTGTTGGCGGAGGACGATGAGTGTCCTTGCCTCTAGTGGCTTGTTGGTCGTTGCTAGTGACGTTATGGGCCTTTGACCGATGAGGTTCTGTTGTGCTGTATGGATGATGTGGCCATGTTTTGTGGTTACCTTGTTTATACCTTTGTTTCGTTGAGGCCGGTGTAGTCCCCCAGTCCCCCACTGCTTCAGGCCGAAGAGAGTGAGGGGTGAAGGAGTTGCCTGAGTCCTTGGCCGAAGCGGTCTCGCCGTAGCCCCCCTGAATCCAACTCTCATGGCGATTTTCTGGCCAAGGTAACCCTGTGGGAGAACCCTTGTGCGCAGATCGCTTGTAGAGAGTTATCATCAAGGGTTATTACGAGGAGCCGAAGGCTGTGGGCTATTTGTTCCCTTTGTTCTGTGGCCGTTACGCACCTGGCCGTTGCCATCCTCTTATTGTTTGGCATTTGTGATATTGGTGAGCAAATGGGACGTTGAGGGCGCTTGCTGGCAGTTGTAAAACCGTTGAGCGTGTGTAGGCCGTAGAGTCTGATTTGCCAGTGGGCCGTTGATATGGGTTGGTCCTGGCCCGTTGGTGACGTGGTGGCCCCCCCAGTGGTGGCCGTTGATGTGGCCATTTGGTGAGTGCCACGTGTAGTGACCGTTGGTGGTGGGGTCTATAAATACCCCTTCCCCTCCGACGAAGAATCACATTTGCATTCTGAATTTGTCGAAGTGCTGGCCGATTTTCTAGAGAGAGAAACTCCCAAGCCTGTTCTTCGTGTTCTTCATTGTTTGAGGTTAGTGTTCCTCACGATCTTCCTCACTTTTCATATTTTGCTCCGTAAGTAGTTGATCTAGTGTTAGGCATCTAAACACCCTTAGATCGTAAGTTCTCCTTAAGCCCGTAGTAGTAATGAAGAGTTTGAACGAGGACTACTACCCCTACGACGACCAGCCCTCCACGAGGTCCCTTGACTACGAGGTGCTCGAGGAGTTTGAAGAGGAGATAGAGCGTTTGAGCCCCTACAAATCCGTAGAGCTAATGGACGAGGAGATCGAGGACGAGGAGTCCGCCTCCTCTTCAGAGGGTGAGGACGTAGGTGCGTCCCGAGCGATGGACGGGGCGTCCACCTCTGCTGCCGTTCCGTGCCCGAAGCCGGTATCTGCCGTGAAGGGCGCATCGAAGCCGAAGAGAGTGAGGAGGCCGAAGAATGGGCCGGGTCTCTCCTACTTGGACCTTACCAACATATTCCTGATTAAGCCGGAGAGCAGTGAGGCCGACTATCTTGTCGCCCAGATGTACGTGGGGCCGTTCGGGCGGGTTAGGGCACCCAGGCCGACGGACCATGTTCTACTTCCGCCACCGGGATACTTCGGAGTATACCCGATGAGTTTTGCTAAGGGGCTGAGGTTCCCCCTTCACCCCTTCGTCACCGAGTATCTGGACATGGTGGGGCTTCCTCCGGCCCTGCTGACGCCGAACAGTTATTCCTTGATAGTGGGCTTCTTGCTTCGGTGTGAGGAGTTGGGCTACAGGCCGACCACGGCCTTATTCATGAACTTGTACCAGATCGGCCGAGGAAGCCACAAGAACTGTGCGGCCTATGCCACTCTTCAACAGCTGCCGAGGAAGAGGAGCTTCACGGATTTGCCTACGTCCATTCATGGGTGGAAGAGCAAGTTCGTGTTTGTGTCCATTGGTGAGAGTGGCACCGAGTTCCCCTCCCTCGGCCACACCGGGAGGTTCAACCTTCATGACCCGCCGAAGAGCTCTATTCTGGACGCTCAGGTGGAGGCTTTCCTGGAAGGGGGGCCGAGGAGCGTGAAAGATTACGTCACTGAATACAAGATGACGGCCCTCGGCTTCTTCAGATATCACTTGTATGGAGATAAGGAGGATGACCTCCAACTCTGGCCGAGGATGACCACCAACTTTGAGGAGGCCGATGGCCCGCCTTTGGGCATTCCCGCTGAGGCCGATGGTAATTCTTCTTCGGCTTTGTGTCTTTACGTTTTGTCCTTTGCCTTACTAATCTGTTTGTGCTTTTCCCTTGTAGATTTTGTCATGGACCGCCGTTCTATGATGGCGATTGCGAAGGCCAAAGCGGCCGAGGAGATTGCTGCTAAGGCGGCCGAAGCGGCCAGGCGTGCCGCGGCCGGTGTGGGCGGGGCTAATGCAGATGCGGCCCCAAAGCCTGCCCCGTCCAAGAAAAAGAGACCGGCCACTGACGGCCAGAAGAAGTTGACCGAGGCCGGCGTGAGCGTCTCTAAGAAGACGAAGAGGGCTCCTTCCCCTTCTCCGGCCAGTGAGGCCGGTACGCTTACCGTCCCCAGCGTGGGCGATGGTGGTCCCGTCGTGGACCTTACTGTTGCTGATGGTGCCGCCCCGGCGCTTCCTCTCGTCCAGGAACCACGGACGCAGAGGGCCGGCAAAGAGGTTGCCGGTGCTACCTATCAGAAAGTGATAGAGTACCCCGTCGGCGGGGGCGTGTTCAATGAGCTCGTCCCCGGCCATGTCGTCCTGGCCAAGGCCATGCCGGCCAAAGATCGGACTCATCTGAAGAAGCTCGAGGAGCCGAAGATCTACGAGGGTGGCATGGATCTCCTCGTCCAAGTAAGTGATGTCCTTATATCCTTGTCTTTCTTCGGCTATGTAGAGTTTTTTGCCTGACCTTAGTTTTTCTTCTGCAGAGTGCCTTCATGCTTATGGAAAGCCATAAGAGGCAGTACTGGGAGATTGCCCGCCTGCAAGCACTGGAGCAGAAGGCTGCCTCGGCCGACGAGGCGGTAGCTTGCCTTGACCGGCTCCGGGAGGATGCCAAGGCGCTGCAGGCCAAAGCTGATGAGGCCGTCGCGGCCAGGGACGATGCCCTGGTCAAGCTCGAAGAGAGCAGAAGGGAGCTTGAGGAGTCCCGTAGAGCGCTTGAGGCCGAGAAGCGCAGGAGCGAGGAGGCCGCCAAGGCGAAAGCTGAGGCCGAAGCCGCCGTTGTGAGGGCTGCCGATGAGGCTGTTGAGAAGTTCTTGGCCGAAGGGTGGAAGGCCGATGAGAGGCTCCCCTGGTGTTACGAGGTGGTGGCCGCCAGGCTGGAGAATTGGGGGATGAACTCCCCTGCCGGCCGGGAGTATTTCAGCCAGGAGATGTCTGTTTACTACAACCTGGGGCAGGAGCGGATGCAAAGGCTCCTGTACCGGCGGCTATCCCGGGCGTTGAAGGCCATGAATTACACGGCCGGATGGGCTAGACGAAACCTGAAGCTCCCAAAGCTGATGAAGGATCCCGAAGGGCAGGCCGCGCTTCCGCTGTCGGAGCGGGAGTCCCCCATAGAAAGCTCCGGCCTCGGCGAGCCGGACTATACCGAGTTCGATTTCTTGGATGATGCCACCAGCGCCGCTGCCGGCCAGGAAGCTGAGGCCGATGAGGAGGGGGCCGACGAGATTGAAGAGCCAGCCCCGGAGGCTTGATCGGCTAGTCCCTATTGTAGTTAGCTTTTCATTTTTTTGCCCAATTATGTAATGGCCGTAGTGCCCTCCAATTGTAATGAATTTTATCAATCGAGGAAATTTTTGCTGTCCTGTTCGGCCTTGAATCCTTTGTGTGCTTGTTAGCTGTCATTTCAATTCTGTAAATTGTCTCAAGTATCAAGTCATAACTTGGGTCACCCGCGAGTGTCTGCTACGTCCTTGAGGTTGGCCTTCCCGTCCAGTAGTCTGGTCGGCCTATGCCTTTTTGATTTACTGTCATAACACTTGGGAAAAAATTCCCCAAGTGTTTTTGGGTCCGTGTAGATCCCGTCTTTACGGCCTAGTGGCTTCGTCGGCTTGGACGTAGTTTCATAACACTTAGGAATTTTTCAAAAATTTTCTAAGTGTTTTGGGATCCACTTAGGTGCTTTCCTTTCGGCCTGGTGGCCTTGTCGGCTTGACCGGTGTTCCTTTGCCATCATAACACTTAGGATTTTTTCAGACAATTTCCTAAGTGTTTTGGATTTCTTTTAGGTGCTTCCGTTTGTAGCCTTGGCCGTAGTGTCCGTTCTGTTTTAGCGTTGGCGTCCTCATCGTCCTGGCCTTGGATACATCTGGCCATGGCCGTTGGCGGCTTGTATCCCTGTGTTCTGGCCGATAAGGGCACCTTCACCATAGTCTCGTGGACTTTGAATTTTTCATAAGTACACATGTGAAGGTGTAGGTGGCTAACGGCTTTGTAGTATACTGGTACCCGCTTCGGCTAGAGTTTCTCCATTTTAGTACTTAGATAATTTCCTAAGTATAAATGTTAGGCGTTTACTTCTTCGCGGTGCCACTGCCGGCCGAGGTCTGGCTTGTGGCCGATGAGGGTGCTGGACAAAAAATAGCTTGTCCAAGAAGATGGTCCTGTATTCGTCGGCTAGCTATGGTTCCAGTGCCTGCGTCGGCCATCCGAGGTGCTGTGCCCGCTTCGTCCCGGTCAGCCTCAGGATTGCGATGCCTTGGTTCATACCCAGCGTTGGTGCCTCAAAGGTCCATGGCCGATGAAGGTCACCTCTCGCGTGTCACCCAACCGATGTGGTTAGGGTTTTTTAAGGCGTGTGTATCGGCCTTGATTGTTCCCTCGTGGTGCGTGGACGTGTCGTCCATGCTGCCTGTCTGTGGTACTAAACTTGTGTTCAACTGATATGTACTTGGCCGAAATGGGCCTGAATTTTGGGGATTTTATTTTTTCATTGCTCGAGGCCGGCAAGTGTGCGCGGCCGTCGGCTTCCCTCTTTTTCCCTTGTATGTTTTTTTTTTCTTTTTCTTTTTTTTTTTTTTTTTTTTTCGTTTCGGGGGGGTATCCTTCTTTCAGGCTTCGGCCGAAGGGTGTGCTCGTCCTTCGGCCGGTTCGGACTTCGTTTATAACGTTCGTGGTCTCAGGGCGGGTCCCGTCGCCTATTTATGACGCGGGCTAGACTTTTGGTCGGTTTCCAACGGCTGTCGTTGCCCATCCCTGAGTTTTGGGATTTTGTCACCTCGGCCATGATTTCAGGCCTGTCGTCCTGCGATCTGGCGCGTGTACGACGCGGTGAGCTTCCCGTTTCAAGACGTGGGCCGTTTGCGGGCCCCTCGTCCTGGGGACATCGTCGGCCATACCTGTGCGTTTCACTTCTAGGTTTACGGGGCCAGGACGATGTGCTCTCTCAGCTAGGCCTGAGCCCTTCGCTGATACAAAGTACAATGGAGTGCCTGAGCTTGTCGCTCGTAGGCTGCAAATGCAAGGGGCCATGTCGGCCAGACCTGAGCCTTTCGCTCTAAGGTGGCCGACGAGGGCACCTGCTAATGTTTTTACTTTAAATTCCAGAGAAAAAATCAGAACATGATTTTATTCATAAGTGGCTCGAGGCCGAGGGTGGCGTTCAATCAGTAACCCGTTAAGGGGTGAGGGCTTCGCCGTCTACACCTCCTTCGGATTACTGATAAAACTTCAACAGATGATGTACATTCCATGTTCGTGGTACATTGGACCCATTCGGTCGTTTAAGTTTGTAGGTGCCGGGTTTGACCACGGCACTGACGATGTAGGGCCCTTCGTACTTCAATGCTAGCTTGCCACCCTCTGTCGGCTGGCTTGCTTCCCTTCGGCGGAGGACGTAGTCCCCCACCTGAAATTCCCGGGAACGTACCTTGGCGTCATAGTATGATTTCACTTGACGCCGGTAGTTCTCTGCTCGGACGTAAGCTTGCTCACGCCTCTCATCAACCAGGTGTAGGTCAATCTTCATGTTCTCTTCGTTGGTGTCAGGCTCATATTGCTCCACTCGCCGGCTGGGGATGGCTACCTCCGTGGGCGCCTTCGCCTCAAAGCCGTAGCATAGGGCGAAAGGTGTTTCGCCTGTCGCCCTCCTCGGCGTGGTTCTGTATCACCACAGGATGTTGGGGAGCTCGTCGACCCAACTACCTCCTGCGGCCTGGAGGTTCTTCTTTAGCCCCTCCATGATTGTTCTGTTGGCGTTCTCGACCTGCCCGTTGCCCTGAGGATAGGCAACGGAGGAGAAACGGTGCCTCACCCCAAACTCCCGGAGGAGCTCCTGGAAAGGGGCTGCCTCGAATTGGGTGCCGTTGTCTGATATAATCTCCTGGGGGACGCCAAAGCGTGTAATGATGTTCTTGTAAACAAATCTTTGGCATCTGGCCCCCGTGATGCTGGCCAAGGGTTCCGCCTTGACCCACTTGGTGAAGTAGTCGACGGCGACGATGATGTAGCGGTTATTTCCGGCGGCCCTGGGCAGGGGGCCGACCAGGTCAATCCCCCATCTAGAGAATGGAATTGCGGTGCTGACAGGGGCGTAATTGACAGCTGGCCGACCAGGGGCTTTCTGGAGTACCTGGCATGTGGTGCACTTCCTGGCCAGGTCAGCGCAGTCCCGTGCCATCGTCGGCCAGAAGAAGCCCTGGACGACGAGACGCCTGGACATGCTGAAGGGACCCTGGTGTGAGGAGCAGACGCCACAGTGAACTTCTTCCATGGCGGTATCGGCCTCATCCTGGTGCAGGCATCGGAGGAGAGTGCCATTGTAGGACCGTTTGTAGAGTTTGCCATCTTCGATGGTGTAGCTTGGGGCCCTGAGTTTGGCAAGTTTGGCCCTCTCCTCGTCCGGGGGCAGCTCCCCCGTTGTGATGAAGGTGGCGATGTCGGAGATCCAGTCCTCTGGTCGCTGTCGGACGCACAAGACGGGGCTGGCGTGGATGCTGGACATGCTCAACTCCTCGATCTTGGCCAATTGGGAGATGTGCTCCGGGGTGTCCGAGCTGAGCTTGGAGAGGATGTCGGCTTCGGCGTTCTCGGCCCTTGGGATCTGAGTGATCTCATGGGTTTCGAACGCTTTCAGCAATTCCTCCGTCGCTTGTTTGTACTGTTTCATCCGGCCTTCCTTTGCTTCGTACGATCCCTCCACCTGGCCCACTACCAGCTTGGAGTCGCACTTGATTCTGAGGTGCTTGGCCTTGAGGCCGGCGGCGAGTCTGAGACCGCTGAGGAGGGCCTCATACTCAGCTTCGTTGTTTGATACCCTGAAGTTGAAGCGGATGGCATAGTAGGCTCTGAATCCTTCAGGGGATATGAGGACGACGACGACGACGCATGATTTCGCGGCCGACGAGCCGTCAGTGAACAAGGTCCACGTGTCGTCCGGCTCCGGCCCGGGGTTGGCGACGGCCGTCTCCCTTGCTGTGCACTCGATGACGAAGTCGGCCAAGGCTTGCCCTTTGATAGACGGCCTTGGCTTGATCTCAATTTGAAACTGACTGAGGAAGATCGCCCATTTCACCATCCTCGAGGAGCTAGTGGGGCTCCTCATGAGCGCGCCGAGAGGCCTTCTGCACTCCTTCGTCCTCACGGATGAGCACGGAGCTGATGGCCGACGTGCTCACCCCTAAGTACAGGAAGAGGGTTTCGCCGGCTTTGGGCTTGGAGAGTACGGGTGGGGACGACAGGTACCTTTTCAATTCGTCGAATGCTTCCTGGCACTCCGTCGTCCACTTGAAGCTGTTTGCCTTGCGCATGATCTGGAAGAAGGGGAGTGCCTTCTCCGCTGACCTGGAGAGGAAACGGTTCAATGCCGCCAGGCGCCCCGTCAGTCGCTGTACCTCCTTGACGTTGCGGGGCGGCTCCATGTTGATGATGGCCTGCGTCTTTTCCGGGTTTATCTCGATGCCTCTCCGGCTGACCATGTAGCCGAGGAACTTGCCACCCTGGACGCCGAAGGCGCATTTCTTGGGGTTGAGGCGGAGCCTGAATTCCTTCATTATCTCAAAGATTTCCCGGAGGTCGTCGGCGTGGGAGGTGGCCTGCCTGCTCTTGACGATCATGTCGTCGACGTACGCCTCCATCGTCCGGCCAAGGACCGCCCTGAAGATCTTGGCCACCATCCTAGTGTAAGTGGCGCCGGAGTTTTTGAGTCCGAAGGCCATGACGAGGTAGCAAAAGATCCCCTCTGGGGTCATGAATGCCGTCTTCTCGGCGTCCCCTTCATGCATGGAGATATGGTGGTACTCTCTGAAAGCGTCGAGGAAAGACATCAACTCGCACCCCGCCGTCTCGTCCACCAGCTGATCGATGTTGGGGAGAGGGAACGGGTCCATGGGGCACGCCTTGTTCAGGTCAGTGTAGTCAACACACATTCTGAACGTCGGCGGCTTCTGTGCAAGGACGACGTTGGCCAACCATGTTGGGTACTTCACCTCTTTGATATGTTTGATTGATAGGAGCATGGCGACCTCCCCTTTGACGAAGTCCCGCCTGTCAGCGGACAAGTAGCGCCGCTTCTGTTTGACGGGCGCGGAGGCCGAATCGACGGTCAGCCGGTGGGTGATCACCTGGCGGCTGATGCCGGGCATATCGTCCGGGCCCCATGCGAAGACAACGGCGTATGACCGTAGGACGAGGAGGATGGCGTCTCGCTGGTCCTGGGGGAGTTGCTTTCCGACCCTGAGAACCCGCTCCGGCCGGGAGGTATCCAGAGGGATTTCCTCGACCTCCTCGGCTGGCTCCGCATGTGGCCTCTCCTCGTCCATGGCGGCGGCGGCCGTGATGGTATCTATCCGCTGTCCCTCCCTTACGGCCGGCCTCGTCAGCTTGAGGTAGCAAGCTCTGGCTATCCTCTGATTTCCTCTGGCGTAGCCGATGCCGTCGCTGGTGGGGAACTTCAAGCATAGGTGCTTCATGGAGATGATGGCCTCCAAGTCCTCCGGCGCTGGCCGGCCCAAGATCAAGTTGTGGGCGCACTGGAGGTTGACCACCATGAACTCCATGTCAATTTTGGCATGGTGGGGGCCGTCACCGACTTCCACGGGGAGGACTATCGTGCCCTCGGCGTCGATAGAGTCCCCGGTGAAGCCGGATAACGGGGTCTTGATCGGCTTCAGCAGAGCTCTGTCCAGCTTCAGCTGCTTGAAGGTGTCTAGGTACATCACGTTGACGGAGCTCCCCGTATCGATGTAAGTGCGGTGGATGATGGAGTCACCGATCTCACATCGGATGACGAGGGCGTCCCTGTGTGACTCCGTACCCGGAGGCAGATCCTTGTTGGTGAAGGTGATCGCCTCCGTTCGCTGCTTCTTCGGCTGGGGGGGAACGTGGGACACCTCTCCAATGTAAAGGGATTGGGCCCATTTCTTCCTCTGAGTGGCGGAGTCCCCCCCATTGTTCCCGCCCACGATGAGGTGGATGTGATTCTTCTTCGGCGGAGGCTCCTCGAAGTCCTCGTCGTCGCTGAGTCTACCAATCTCGCGCTTCTTCGCAGAGGGTTCGCCCCCACATTTGCCGGTGTTTACCCAAGTGTTTTTACGTGGGCCACCTTTGACAAACTGGGAGAGTTCCCCCTGGCGAATAAGACGCTCGATGGCCTTCTTTAATGTGATGCAATCATCGGTGTTGTGCGACGAGTTCTTGTGGAACCGGCAATACGTGCCGCCCTGTTGGATGGCCAGGACCTCCTCGGCTGGCCGAGGAGCCTGCTCGATGAGGCCGTGCTTCTCGGCGTAATCGAGGATGGTGCCGACCGGGTGGGTGAGGGCTACCCCCGGCCGTTCCATCCTCGGCCGCCAGTGACGGTCTTTCTTACTTTGTCCACCAGAGCCGTGGCGGCCCTGGGCACCCTGGCCGGTCTGGGACGGGCCCGAGGTCGGCGAAGGATTTGTCTTCTTGGGGGGATGGCCCCCCTCTCTCTTGTGATTGTGGAGCTCGTCGGCGTCGGCATACAAGCCTCCGCGTTGGAGCGCCTTGGCGTACGACCTCGGGGGGTCAGTGATGAGGCTCCTGGCGTACGGGGAGCTGCGGAGGGCTCCCTGGTACAAGGCGAGGAGGGTGCGCTCATCGGCCCCCTCGACCTCCTCGGTCTCCCTCGTCCACCGGTCGATGAATGACCGGAGGGACTCCTCGTGCTGCTGTTTGACGGAGAGGAGGTGGGTGAAATACTTCTTGGCGCGCTTCCTCCCGGCAAAGTGAGTGAGGAAGCGCTGGGCGAGATCTTGCCATGAGTCAATGCTTCCCTCTGGCAGCCCGTTGAACCACTCGTACGTTGGCCCCTCGAGAGTAGAGAGGAACCAACGGCAGAGGTATTCGTCGGACGCGTTCACCATCAGCATGTTGTTTTGATAACGGCTGAAGTGCTCCTGGGGGTCTGATCGGCCATCGTAGGACTTGATGGCATTTCCCCTGTACTTCTCAGGGATGGGGGCCGAGAGGACCCTGTTGGTGAAAGGGGTCCTAGTCCTGACCTGGATGATGGGGTCACCCCGACCTTCGGCCAGCTCCCTCTCCAGGGCGCTGACTTTGTTCATGAGCGCGTTGAGGCCGGGGTCGTTGGAGGCGCCGGCCGTAGGGACGTTGGCCGACTGCTTGGCCTCCATCTGAGCCAACCTCCTTTCCAGCTGGGCGATGACCTCGTCCCGGGGGTCCCCGTCGGCCGCGACTGGTTGGTTCCTCCGGGGCTCGTTGTGAGCCGCGTTGATCTGGTGACGCACGTCATCCTCGTGCAACTTCCCCTTGCCCTTGTCCGGGCGGGGCTGGTCCGCTGTCCGGGACACAGACCCCAAACTCTCCCTTGGCGAGCCAGGACGAGGATCACCAATCCGTCCCGCCATCCTTTCCGAAACCGGACGACGGCGCGTGTCACCTAGCCTATTGAAGGCAGAGGCTTTTCCACGCGCTGGGGTCTGCCCGGGCCGAAAAGGGGAAGCAGGGTGGGAGTGGGACGACGCCGTGTCCTGGGCCACAACCCCTTCATTGTTGCCTATCTGGTCGGCCAGGGGTTGGGGATGAGGAGGTGGAGTGACGTTTCCCCCGGTCCTTGGCAAGAGTGCGCTGAGGACGGTGGGATTCTGAGCCAAGCTGGCGATGATAGCCGATAGGCTGGGCCGGGGCGTGGTCCGCTTTCTCAGCTCGTTTCTTTTCCAGGCCGAGGCGGGCGTCGGGGACTCCGCCGTTGAGTTGGTTGCGGAGGTCCGTCGTGAGGTTGAAGGCTTCCTGGAAGAGGTCCCCTCCGCCGACCTGGTCGGCCGTGGCGTCCTCATCGTGCTCCCTGGGCTCTTGGTCCTCAGGGATGGCTTTGCTGACGAGGTTGCGGTTTGACTTAGTTCTTCCCGTGATCAGTGGTTAGCTGTGCTTGGTAGCGACGAAGGGTGCTAACTTGATTGTTCTAGCTCTCAACGAGAGCACCAAATGATAGAGTATATCTCCTAGATTCTAGAGAGAAGTGAGAGCTAGAGAGAGAAGTGCAATAATATGCTTCAATAGAATGAATTCGTCACCCCTATAACTACTCCCAAGGGGAGTATTTATAGAGAAAATTAGGGTTGGGCTCCCAAGCCTTGGGCTTGGGAGGCCCATTTACAACTGGACCGCTACTGGGCCGAATACAAAGCCACTAATGGGCTGTACAAGTGAGTAAGTGTAGGATCCGATTCTGGGAGGTCTTCGTGGCCGACGAGGGCACGGCCGACGAGGGCACGGCCGACGGGGGCACCCGGGTTCCTTGGACTCGGGATCATAATCCGGGTTGGCTTCCTCCCGGACGACGGGGGCGTCTTGGCCGACGAGGGCGTTTGGCCGACGAGGGCGCCACTCTGTCTTGTGCTCTGTTCTTCCGAGTATGTGGGTCCTGGGGCTCAGACCCATATACTCCATCAAGTAATATTGTATACTTTGATGGAGTATATGGATCTAGGCCCCAGGACCCACATACTCAGAAGAACAGAAAGCACAGCCACTACGCGGTGCCCTCGTCGGCCGAAAGACCCCGTCGGCCAGAAGAAAGACCAACCCAGAATATGATCCTGAAGCCAAGAAACCAGGGTGTCCTCATCGGCCGTGCCCTCGTCGGCCGTGCCCTCGTCGGCCAAGATCCTCGTCGGCCACGGAAGTCTCACAGAACCGGATTTTACACTTATTCATTTGTATAGCCCATCAGTGGCTTTGTATTCGGCCCAATAACGGTCCAATTGTAAATGGGCCTCCCAAGCCCAAGACTTGGGAGCCCAACCCGTATTTTCCCTATAAATACTTCCTCTGGAGGTAGTTATCAGAGTTACAAATTCATTCTATTGAAGCATTTCTTGCACTTCTCTCTCTAGCTCTCACCTCTCTCTAGATATATACTCTATCATTTGGTGCTCTCGTTGAGAGCTAGAACAATCAAGTTAGCACCCTTCGTCGCTACCAAGCACAGCTAACCACTGATCATGGGAAGAACTAAGTCAAACCGCAACCTCGTCAGCAAGGCCATCCCTAAGGACCAGGAGACCAGGGAGCACGAGGAGGGGACGTCTTCCAGGAGGCCATCAACCTCACGACGGACCTCCGCAACCAACTCAACGGCGGAGCCCCTGATTCCCGCATCGGCTTGGACAAGAAACGAGCTGAGAAGACAGACCACGCCCCGGCCCAGCCTATGGCCGCGGCTTCTACGTCTGTGGATCCGCAGGTCCAGGCCGCGCTGTCGGTCATCATCGCCAGCTTGGCCCAGAACCCCACCGTCCTCAGCGCACTCTTGCCAAGGACTGGGGGGAACGTCGCTCCACCTCCTCAGCCCCAACCGTTGGCCGTCCAGATAGGCAACGATGAGGGGGTGATGGCCCAGGACACGGCGTCGTCCCACTCCCACCCCGCTTCCCCTCTTCGGTCTGGGCAGACCCTAGCGCGTGGAAAAGCCTCTGCCTTCAATAGGCTAGGTGACACGCGTCGTCGTCCGGTTTCGGAGAGGATGGCAGGGCGAATTGGTGAACGTCGGCCTGGCTCGCCAAGGAAAAGCTTGGGGTCTGTGTCCCGCACAGCGGACCAGCCCCGCCTGGACAAAGGCAAGGGAAAATTGCACGAAGACGACGTGCGCCACCAGATCAATGCAGCCCACGACGAGCGCATGAAGAACCAGCAGGGCGCCGCTGCGGCCGCCAGGGACCCCCGGGACGAGGTCATCGCCCAGCTGGAAAGGAGGCTGGCTCAGATAGAGGCCAGCCAATCGGCCAACATCCCCACGGCTGGCGCCTCCAACATCCCTGGCCTCAACGCCCTCATGATCAAAGTCAGCGCCCTTGAGAGGGAGTTGGCCGAAGGGCGAGGTGACCCCGTCATCCAGATCAGGACCGGAGAAGTACAGGGGAAACGTCATCATGTTCTACGATGGCCGATCCGACCCCCAGGAGCACTTCAGCCGCTATCAGAACAACATGCTAATGGTGAACGCGTCGGATGAATATCTCTGCCGCTGGTTCCTTTCTACTCCTGAGGGGCCGGCGTACGAGTGGTTCAATGCGCTTCCCGAAGGAAGTATTGACTCATGGCAAGACCTTGCCTAGCGCTTCCTCACCCATTTTGCCGGGAGGAAGCGTGCGAAGAAGTATTTCACCCATCTCCTCTCCATCAAGCAGCAACATGACGAACCCCTCCGGTCATTCATTGATCGGTGGACGAAGGAGACCGAAGAAGTTGAGGGGGGCGATGAGCGCACCCTCCTCGTCCTGTACCAGGGAGCCCTCCGCAGCTCCCCGTACGCCAGGAGCCTCATCACCGACCCTCCAAGGTCGTACGCAAAGGCGCTCCAGCGCGGGAGCTTGTACGCTGACGCCGACGAGCTCTACAACCACAAGAAATAGGGAGGCCATCCCTCCAAGAAGACAAATTCTTCGCCGGCCCCGGGACCCTCCCCGGCCGGCCAGGGTGCCCAGGGCCGTCACGGCTCTGGTGGACAAAGCAAGAAAGATCGCCACTGGCGGCCGAGGTTGGAACGGCTGGGGGTCCCCTCACCCACCCGGTCGGCACCATCCTCGACTACGCCGAGAAGCATGGCCTCATTGAGCAGGCTACTCGGCCGGCCGAGAAGGTCCTTGCCATCCAGCAGGGAGGCACATACTGCCGATTTCACAAGAACTCCTCGCACAACACTGACGATTGCATCACGCTAAAGAAAGCCATCGAGCGCCTTATTCATCAAGGGGAACTCTCCCAATTTGTTAAAGGTGGCCCACGCAAAAATACGTGGGTAAACACCGGCAAACCTGGGGGCGAACCCTCTACGAAGAAGCGGGAGATCGGCAGGCTCAGCGACGACGAGGACTTTGAGGAGCCTCCGCCAAAGAAGAACCACATTCACCTCATTGTAGGTGGGAACATCGGGGGGGACTCCGTCACCCAGAGGAAGAAATGGGCCCAATCCTTCTACATTGGGGAGGTGTCCCACGTTCCCCCCAGCCGAAGAAACAGCGAACGGAGGCGATCACCTTCACCGACAAGGATCTGCCTCCGGGTACGGAATCACATAGGGATGCCCTCGTCATCCGGTGTGAGATCGGTGACTCCATCATCCACCGCACTTGCATCGATACGGGGAGCTCTGTCAACGTGATGTACCTGGACACCTTCAGGCAGCTGAAGCTTGACAAAGCTCTGCTGAAGCCGATCAAGACACCGTTATCCGGCTTCACCGGGGACTCTATCGACACCGAGCGCACGATAGTCCTCCCCGTGGAGGTCGGTGACGGCACCCACCGCGCCAAAATTGACATGGAGTTCATGGCGGTCAACCTCCAGTGCGCTCACAACCTGATTTTAGGGCGGCCAGCACTGGAGGACTTGGAGGCTATCATCTCCATGAAGCACTTGTGTCTGAAGTTCCCCACCAATGGCGGCATCGGCTACGCCAGAGGCAACCAGAGGATAGCCAGAGCATGCTACCTCAAGTTAACAAGGCCGGCCGAAAGGGAAGGACAGAGGATAGACACCATCACGTCAGCCGTTGCCAAGGACGAGGAGAGGCCGCATGCCGAACCGGCCGAGGAGGTCGAGGAAGTCCCTCTGGATACCTCCCGACCGGAGCGGGTCCTCAGAATCAGGAAGCAACTCCCACAGGACCAGCGGGACGCCATTCTCCTCGTCCTACGGTTATACGCCGTCATTTTCGCGTGGGGTCCGGACGACATGTCAGGCATCAGCCGGCAGAAGCGGCGCTACTTATCCGCCGACAGGCGGGACTTCGTCAAAGGGGAGGTCGCCATGCTCCTCTCAATCAACCACATCAAAGATGTGAAGTACCCGACGTGGCTAGCCAACGTCGTCCTCGCCCAAAACCGCCGACATTCAGAATGTGTGTTGATTACACTGACCTGAAAAAGGCGTGCCCCATGGACCCGTTCCCTCTCCCCAACATTGATCAGCTGGTGGACGAGACGGCGGGGTCCATCCCACCATCGTACATCTTCACATGGCCGAGCTTCTTCAGGTAAGCCCGGTCTTCGTCAGGAATAGCCTGGGAGATCACCTCGTGGCCGTCAACGATCTCGTTGAACAGCCCCCCTTTGACAGGGTACTCCACCTCGAGCTTGTAGGTCCCTTTGACCAGCTCTCGGCCGGACCCTTTCTTCCGGGCGGCGTTACGGCAACAGGAACGGTGGACAGAGTGGTGGACGAAGGGCCCGAAGGGTGGTCCACCAAAGCATCAATGTTTGAACCCCCTCCGTCCCCAGAGGGAACAGCCGACGTCCCAGCATCACCGGCAGAGGGAGCTCTCTTCGACTTCTTGGGAGGCTTCAGTCCCACCTCGGTCAACTTCTTTTGGCCCTCATCGGCCTGTCGTTTCTTCTTCGGCTGTACCGGGGGCTTGGCCGCAGGGGCAGCACCAGGCTGTTGGGCCTTCAGCTCCTCGGCCGCTTTGAGCTGTGCCCTCTTCATAAAGGACATACGATCCATCACAAAACCTGCACCAGAAACACACTAAGGGTCAGCAAAATAGAGAATACAAATGTACGACGAGAAAGAAGTGCATCAGAAAGGAATTACCATCGTCCTCAGTTGGCACCCCCAGATCGGGACCATCAGCCTCCTCCTAAGACGTGGTCATCTTCGGCCACAACTCCACATCGTCGTCATTATCACCATACACAAAATACCGTACAAAGCTGAGGGCGGCCATTTTGTACTCGGTAATATACGTCTTCACACTCCTTGGCCCTCCCTTCAAGAAAGCCTAAACCTGAGCGTCCAGGATGGAGCTCCTCGGCGTGTCATGCAGATTAAACCGCCCGCTATGGCCGACGGAGGGAAACTCTACGCCCCTTCACCCAATGACACGAACACAAACTTCCCTTTCCAGCCATGGATGGACGTCGGCAGGTCTGTGAAACTCCTCTTCTTGGGGAGTTGTTGAAGAGTGGCATACGACGCACAGTTCTGATGGCTTCCGCGGCCTATCTGATATAGGTTCATAAACAGCGCCGTCGTCGGCCTGAAATCCAATTCAGCACACCGCAAGAGGAAGCCGACGATGAGCGAGTAGCTATTCAGCGTCAACAAGGCCGGAGGGAGTCCCACCATATCTAGATACTCGATAATAAAGGGATGAAGTGGGAACCTAAGTCCTTTGGCAAAGCTCATCGGGTACACTCCAAAGTAGCCCGGGGGTGGATTAAAGACATGGTCCGTCGGCCTGGGGGCCCTAACTCTACCGTACGGCCCCACATACATCTGTGCAACCAGGTATTCACCCGCATTACTCTGCGGCCTGATAATGTAGATATTCGTCAGATCAAGGTAAGAGAAGGCTGGCCCTCTCTTCGGCCTCCTCACCCTCTTCGGCGGCGCAACACCCTTCACCGCAGACATCGGTTTTGGGCATGGGATGGCAGCCGACGTGGACGCCCCATCAGCAGTTTGGGAGACCCCTACGTCCCCATCTCCAGACGATGACGCAGACCCCTCGTCCTCATCGTCCTACTCCCCGGACTTGAACGAGCTCAGATTCTCAAGCTCTTCACAGAACTCCTCGACCACTTCATAGTCAAGGGACTTGGTGGAGGGCTCGTCGTCGTAGGGGTAGTACTCTTCGTTGAAGTCTTTCGTCTTAAACACTATTTCGGATATACTGCAGCCTACTTCGAGATCTAAGGGTGTTCAAACGCCTAACACTAGATCACTAGCCTATGAAGCAAAATATGCAAAGTACAGAGAGATTTCGATGAACACTAACCTTGAAGAACACAAAGAACACGAAGAACACAAGCTTGGGAGTTTATCTCTCTAGGAATTTGGCCAGCACTTCGATAGCTCAGATTGCAAATGAGAGTTCTCGTCGGATAGAGAGGGGTATTTATAGAGCCCCCTACCCAACGGTCACTACACGTGGCACCCCCCAGTGGCCACACCAACGGCCACCAACGGGAGGCTACCACGTCATCAATGGGCCAAGCCCAACCTACAGACCAAAAGCCCACTGGCAAAGCAGGCTCTACGGAACGGGAAAGGGGAGAATAACACCCACAACGGCCAGGGGACTCAACGGCCAACAACAGACAACGGTAACCCCACAGCACCCATATCGGCCATTCAGATGGCCACAATATCCCAAAGGAAAGGAACGTAACGGCCACGAGGCCCTCGCACTAAATCCTTGATGATAACCCTTTGAAAGCGACCTGCGTCCAAGGGTTCTCCCACAGGGTTACCTTGATCAGGAAATCGCCAAAGGGTTGGATACAAGGGCAGTATGAGGATCCCACTTCGGCCTAAGTTTCAATCTACTCCTTCACCCCTCACTCACTCTTCGGCCTGAAGCAGTGGGGGACTGGGGGACTACATCGACCTCAAGAATAACAGGCGAAATCAAAGAAATCCAAAAATACACCAAGTCCACAACTACAATATCAAGATACGCACCACAACGTCCATAACGCCATGGTACACCTTCGGCCATAGCAAGCTTGATATCACAGGACACTTATCGGCCTTGAAACCACACATCACTCTCAAGCCAGGAATCAAGAGAAAGGCTGACATACCTAAATCACTGTCGTCCATATACCGCAACGGCCCTGAAGTCCTCACAACTTCATCTACGGCCAGACAGTGTTATCATCCCCAAAACCTCTGGGCAATATGACGCCTGGTCGTCCAAAAACACAGGGCATCATCGACAACGGCCAAAGGAATGCGCAGTGCCCTCATCGGCCAAAAGGGAAACTTACCCAGTCAATAACCAAGGATAGGCACTACCTTCATCGGCCACTCATGCCAGAACACCCATTGTCCAACAAACAAAGCGCAACAAAGGAACAGTAACCTTCCCCATCCGCATCAGGGGACAGGCAACGGCCGAACTCAGAACGGCCAACGTGGTCCCGCATCGGCCAAGAAGCGTCCAGCACAGAAACCTACTCTCCTTCACTTCGTCTACATCTCAGCTTAGAGAGTGGGGGACTCCTGATGGAGTATATGGATCTAGACCCCAGGACCCACATACTCAGAAGAACAGAAAGCACAGCCATTACGCGGTGCCCTCTTCAGCCAAAAGACCCCCGTCGGCCAGAAGAACGACCAACCCAGAATATGATCCTGAAGCCAAGGAACCAGGGTGTACTCGTCGGCCGTGCCCTCGTCGGCCGTGCCCTCGTCGGCCAAGACACTCGTCGGCCACGGAAGTCTCACAGAACCGGATTTTACACTTATTCATTTGTATAGCCCATCGGTGGCTTTGTATTCGGCCCAATAGCGGTCCAGTTGTAAATGGGCCTCCCAAGCCCAAGACTTGGGAGCACAGCCCGTATTTTCCCTATAAATACTTCCTCTGGAGGTAGTTATCAGGGTTACAAATTCATTCTATTGAAGCATTTCTTGCACTTCTCTCTCTAGCTCTCACCTCTCTCTAGATATATACTCTATCATACTTACCTAACTATTGACTCTTTTTCGCAGAAGTTGAGACGATTTTATATTAACAAAAGAGAGAAGAAACAACCGAGCTGTTTACCTGGCTGTTTACCTGGCAGATGCAGCCCTGTAGGAGCAACAGCCCGAGCAAGAGATGTGGTCAAAGACCCGCTTCCTATACCGGATTCAAGTACCAAACAACCCGGAACTGCCTCCAAATACATAACCATGAAACTTATATCAGCGATGTATAGAATCTGAGTTCTGTGGCTCAATACAAGCGTCCATAATTCCGGCGTTGGGGCCAATAGGTATAAGAACCCGCTCTTTGAGCTGAAAAGTTCGGCGGCTGTCGGAAGCTAACATCGGCGGCAGTTGGAAGATAATGTCAGTGGCGGTCGGAACCTAATGTCAGCGGCGAGGAGATCGGCAAGAAACTGAGTTGGCGTTGGCGAGAATCTGCAGCTGCGTCGGCGAGGAGCTGGCCTTCGGCGAGGAGCGGCGCCAAGTTCTGCCGGAACCTAAACTGGGACGGGAGCTGGGTTTGGGAGGGTTTATATTGCTTTGTTTTGATCGATTGGAGGAGAAGGAAGTTAGATCTGAAATATTGAAGGTTTATGTGGTGCGGTTCCACCTCTGATCGCACCAGATAGTAGAGAAATTTAAAGTATTTGCTATGGTTCATCCTTACCCGTAGCAAATAAGTCAAAAAAACAAATTGAAATTTAAAATAAAACGAGTATTTGCCGCGGTTCTGACACGACCGAAGCAAAAAGTATCAAATTTTCCAACTATTTGCTGCGGTCGTAGTAAAATCGCAGTAAATACTTATAAATTTTGTCTATTTGCTGCGGTTTAATTAAGAATCGCAACAATTAGGTAGCAGCAAATAGCTATTATTCTAGCAGTGTAAATCGTCAGTGAATAGGGTCCATGTTTCGTCCAGTTCTGAGCCAGGTATGGTGATGGTCTGCTCCCTTGCCGTACACTCAGTCACAAAGTCGGCCAAGGTCTGGCCCTTGATGGATGGCCTCGGCCTGATCTCAATTTGGAATTGGCTCAGGAAGATTGCCCACTTCACCATCCTTTATGAGCTCGTCGGGTTCCTCATGAGCGCATTGAGGGGCTTCTGTGTTAGGTCATGGACGGCATGAGCCTGAAAGTAGTGGCCCAGTTTCTTCACTGTGTGGACGATGTCCAGCACCTTCTTTTCGACGAGGGAGTACCTGAGCTCGGCCTCCCGGAGCGTCTTGTTGAAGTAGAAAATAGCCTTTTGTACCCCCTCGTCTTCACGGATGAGCACAGAGCTGACGGCTGATGTGCTGACCCCCAACTACAGGAAGAGGGTTTCACCGGCTTTTGGTTTGGAGAGCACAGGGGGGATGCCAGGTATTGCTTCAATTCCTCAAAGGCTTGCTGGCACTCCATCGTCCACTTGAAGCTGTTTGCTTTGCGCATGATTTGAAAAAAGGGGAGGGATCTTCCAGCTGATTTGGAGAGGAAACGGTTTAGGGCCGCAAGGCGTCCTGTTAACCGTTGTACCTCTTTGACATTGCATGGTGGCTCCATGTTCACAATGGCCTGGATTTTATTCGTATTTTTTTCAATGCCCCTTCGACTGACCATGTAACCGAGGAACTTGCCCCCTTGGACACTGAAGGTGCATTTCTTGGGGTTTAGGCGGAGCTTGAACTACTTCATGATTTCAAAGATTTCCCGGAGGTCGTCAGCATGGTGGTAGATTGTTTTGCTCTTGACGATCATGTCGTCGACGTATGCCTCCATCGTCCGACCGAGGACTGCTCTAAAGATTTTGGCTACCATCCTTATGTGCGTGGCGCCTAAATTTTGGAGCCCAAAGGCCATGATTAGGTAGAAAAAGATTCCCTCTGGGGTCATAAAGGCTGTCTTCTCGTCGTCGTCTTCATGCATGAAGATCTGGTGATATCCTCTGAAGGCATCAAGAAATGACATCATCTCGCAGCCTGTCGTCTCGTCCACCAACCGATCAACGTTGGGGAGAGGGAACGGGTCCATGGGGCACGCCTTGTTCAGATCGGTGTAGTCGACGCACATTCTGAACGTTGGCGGCTTTTGGGTGAGGACGACGTTCGCCAACCACGTTAGGTACTTCACCTCCTTAATGTGGTCGATGGAGAGGAGCATGGTGACCTCCCCCTTGAAGAAGTCCCGCTCTTTCAACTGAGAGGTAGCGCCGTTTTTGCTTGACTGGCGTGGAGGCTGGATCGACTGACAGCCAGTGGGTGACCACCTTCCGGCTGATGCCTGGCATGTCTTCCGGCCCCCACGCAAAGATGATGGCATATGACCGCAGGACTAGGAGTATGGCATCACGTTGGTCCTGTGGGAGTTGTCTCCCGATTTTCAGGATTTGCTCCGGCCGAGAGGCATCCAAGGAGACTTCCTCGACGTCCTCGATCGGCTCAGTATGTGGCCTCTCTTCGTCCTTAGCGATAGTCATAGTGATGATGCCTACCCTCTGCTCGGCGCTTGCGGCCTGCTTCGTCAGCTTGAGGTAGCATGCTCTGGCTATCTTTTGGTTCCCCTGGCGTAGCCGATGCCGCCGCTGGTGAGGAACTTCAGGCACAAGTGTTTCATGGAGATGATGGCCTTCAGGTCCTCTAATGTTGGCCTCCCCCAGATAAGGTTGTGGGTGCATTCGAGGTTTACCACCATGAATTCCATGTCAATTTTGGCGCGATGGGAGCCGTCACCGACCTCCACGGGAAGGACTATCATGCCCTCAGCGTCGATAGAGTCCCCGGTGAAGCCAGACAACGGCGTCCGGATCGGCTTGAGCAGGGCCCTTTCTAACTTCAGCTGCTTGAAGGTGTCAAGGTACATGAGGTTGACGGAGCTCCCCGTATCGATGTAAGTGCAGTGAATAATGGAGTTGGCTATCTCACATCGGATGACGAGAGCATCCATGTGCGATGCGGGGCCTGGAGGCAAATCTTTTTCGGTGAAGGTGATTGCCTCCGTCTGTTGCTTCTTCGGCAGGAGGGAACGTGGCACACCTCGCCAATGTATAGGGACTGAGCCCACTTCTTCCATTGGGTGGCTGAGTCCCCCCCCCCCCCAATGTTGCCTCCCACAATGAGGTGGATGTGGTTCCTCTTCGGACGAGGCTCCTCGAAGTCCTCGTCTTCGCTGAGCCTACCAATCTCACGCTTCTTCGTTGAGGTGTCCCCCCCTTATTAATGGGATTCACCCAAGTATTTTCCCTTGGGGTGTCCTTCACAAATTGGGAGAGTTGACCTTGCCGAATCAAGCGCTCGATGGCTTTTTTCAACGTGACGCAATCGTCAGTGTTGTGGGAGGTGTTTTTGTGGTAGCGGCAATAGGTACCACCCTGATGGACGGCATAGATCTCCTTGGTTGACCGGGGATCCCTGGAAATGAGATCATGTTCCTCGGAGTAGTCGAGGATGGTACTCACCGGGTGAGTGAGGAGAGTCCTCGGTGCGTCCATCCTTGGGTGCCATGTCTTCTTATGGGAGTGAAGCTCATCGGCGTCAGCATACAAGTTTCCCCTCTGAAGAGCTTTGACGTACGACCTCGGGGGTCAGTGATGAGACTCCTGACGTAGGGGCTGCTGCGGAGCACGCCCTGAAGTAAGACGAGGAGGGTGCGGTCATCGGCGCCCTCGACTTCCTCGGTCTCTCTCGTCCATCGGTCAAGGAAACAGCGGAGCGGTTCGTCCCCTTGTCTGATGGTGAGGAGATGGGAGAAATGCTTCTTCGCACGCTTCCTTTCGGCGAAGTGAGTGACGAAACGCTGCGCAAGATCTTGCCAGGAGTCCACGCTTCCCTCGGGGAGCGCATTGAACCATTCGCGCGCTGGTCCCTCAAGGGTGGAAAGGAACCAACGACAGAGGTATTTATCGGAGGCATTCACCATCAGCATGTTGTTCTGATAGCGGCTGAAATGCTCTTGCGGATCACTGCGGCCGTCGTATGGTTTGATGACGTTCCCTCAGTACTTCTCGGGTATGGGGGCCGAGAGTACCCTGGCCGTGAAGGGAGTATGTGTCCTTATCAGGATGACGGGGTCCCCTCTTCCTTCGGCGAGTTCCTTCTCCAAGGCGCTGACGTTGTGCAGAAGGGCGGTAAAGCCGGGATCCCTGGATGTGTTGGCCGTAGATATAGTGGCCGACTGCTTTGCCTCCATCTGGGCAAGACTCCTTTCCAGCTGGGCGATGACCTCGTCCTGGGGTCCTTGGCGGCCGTAGTGGCACCGCCCTGTTGGGTTCGCACGCGGGCTGCGTGAGTCGTGTTGATTTGGTGGCGCACATCATCCTCGTGCAACTTTCCTTTGCCTTTGTCCAGGCGGGGGCGATCCGCTGTCTGGGATACGGACCCCAAGCTCTCCCTTGGTGAGCCAGGCTCACACTCACCAATCCGTCCCGCCATCCTCTCCGATGCTGGCCGACAGCGCGTGTCACCTAGCCTATTGAAGACCGAGGCTTTTCCACGCGCTGGGGTTGGTCCAGCTCGAAGAGGGGAAGCAGGGTGGGAGTGGGATAACGACGTGTCCTGGGCCTCCACCCTTTCGTCGTTGCCTATTTTCATGACCAACGATTGGGGCGGTGGGGGTGGCGGAGTAGCGTTCTCCCCCGTCCTTGGCATGAGTGCGCTGAGGACGGTGGGGTTCTTGGCCAGGCTAGCTATGATGGCCGATACAGCGGCCTAGAGCTGAGGGTCAACATCGGGAGTGGTCTGTGGCCCCGATGCATGGTCTCCCTTCTCCATGTGTTTCTTCTCAAAGCCGATGCGGGCGTTTTGAGCGTTGTCGTTGAGCTAATTGCGAAGGTCAGTTGTGGGGTCGATGATCTTCTGGAAGATTTCCTCCCCCGCGACCTTGTCGACCGTAGCATCTCCGGAGCGCTCAGTTGTGGGGTCGATGGTCTTCAGTCATCACTATTTCATTGCAAAGAAGCATCTCTTATCTACGATGGTTGTGACAAGTGACACCTGACAAAGTCAATGTTTGTTTTAAAATCTAATACACTAAAGGATCTCAAAGATGTTTTCTTGTGTTCACCATCACTCGTTCAAGATCATCAAGACTTTTCAAGTTTGCAAACTGGTAACACATATTAAATATAATTACTTAGAGTATTAGTTGATGGCTTGATGCTGAAGACTTGAAGAGTTCAACTTTCCCCACAACTAAAGTCACATGGATAAAATCCAACCAATTTCATCAATTCTGATGCGTCAACTCACGTAAGAAATGGACCGACTCAACTAAATAGTAATTCATTTTATTTATCTATCTAAAATAACATACTTAGTACTACGTATTATTTACATTTGAGATTTTAATAGTGTAAAATTATACCCTAATAGATGTATAACTATTTCGGTAAGTTGTCAATTAAATTAAGTCTAATTGATACTCCCTCAGTCCCAAATTGTAAGATACATTTACTATTCACTTGTTCAACTTAAATCACTCTTAATCTTTTACTTTATATATCAAAAGTTTATGAAATTTGAATTATTTTTTGCAGGTTTTGTAGCGGTTTTTATGTAGTTTCGGGATATGTAAATTTTATTTTCTAAAACTAATTTGAGTGTTTACAAGGATGAATTTGCTTAATCGTCGGTCAAACATCGTAAATCGTAAAGTATCTTACAAAATGGGACGGACGGAGTATAAATCAATAATCATATAATATATATTTTTGAAAGATCATATAATATATTAATAACATTATAATACGTTTAATAACATTATTAATTTTATATTTATATTTATATAAAAATTAAAAATAGTGTATGGCCTTAAACACAAAAACAACACAATCAAACATACGGAATACTTATTAGGGGCTAAGCATGTACATAGGCCATTAGATCAACATTCAAATTAATGCCAAAAGCATAACATATGTGCAGCTAATTTTTCCTTCGTCTTCATTTGGTTGGGCAGGATGTTATTTATAGGGGGCAATCAATTTTTTTTATTGGGGGCAAATTCCTTGACTTCAAATATTTATTAAGATATTATATGTGGGGGCAGCTGCCCCCTATTAGCTATTGTACTCTAATTTTTCCGCCCCTGAGCATATTGTAATGAATAAACTGTATTTAGATTTTGATGATGTTGTAAAAATTGAAAAATTAGAGTACCTCTAGATATAGATAAATTTTTTAGGGATAAGGATCAGATCCCTCAAACTTGAAAAAAATGTCAAATAAGCCCATATTTAGGATGTTCTGTCTGGCCGACGTCATTTGGGCCGGTTTCCGGTGGAATTTTTTGATAAATTTTTTTGAGAATCTTATTCATTAAGTCTAGTTTACTCATATCAAATTTAAACTAAAACTTCAATCGGGAAGGCATACAAATGAATTCTTGAAGATAACTGCGCAATTAAAACTTCAATACTAGTATAATCTACTATTATGAATAATTCTAAAAATGTAATACATGATTAATATAGTGGACTATTATTGTTACGTGACGAATTTTTTTTGATGAATTTTTATCAGATAAACTTTATCCGATTAAATTTTATGTGATTTATCTGTTTCTATTTTATTATAAATGGGTCAAATCCGATGGGATTGAATTTTTTTATGTAATTTTTCCATCTGATTAACACTTAATTATTATTGTTTTTGATGTTATAATTATATATAAGACTTAATTATTATGGACAAATGTGGAAAACCAACATTGAAATAGCTCCGAATTGCCCTGGCCAGGTGTGCCTCTACCATACAAAGTTGGCAGACCACATTTCTTTGCTATAAACCCGTCGGAATGGTAAATTCCGAGTAAAAGCCTCTAATATTTTTTTTAAAAAAAAAAACTTTGCCAATCCTGTCCGAATTGGTAATTCTGAGTAGAAGCCTTCCACCCAAAAAAAAAAAAAAAAAAAAAACTTCCCCGCCTAGTCGGAATGGGGCCGGCCGGAGTTCCGAATCCCGTAAATTCGTACCTCAATTCGTATTAAACAACACATACAGACCCTTTGATCCTAGCTAGCCCTATCATCCCATTCATCTTCAACGTGAGATTTTTTTCTTTTTCTTTTTGTATTTGAATTGTTTAATTTGCTTGTTTAATTTGTTTTTTATGTGCATATGAATTAAACGTATGAAGAATGGCTGGCACCTCATCAACATGGTATTTGCTACTGCTCCTTGCCTTTAGCTTCATGCTTCTTACGGAGGCTTCCCAGCAAAACGTTTCCCTGACTTTCGTTGATCGTGCAGTTGAAAAAGGCTCAGGTATATATATAGAGAAAAGATATATATATATATATATATATATATATATATATATATATATATATATATATATATATATATATAAATATATGGAGGATAGTTCATGTCCGGCCACCTCAATTTGAGGTGGTTCCGGGATATTTTTGGCTGAAATGTTTTGCGTATGTTACTCATCAAGTCTAGTTCATCCGTACCAAATTTGAGCAAAAAATTCAATCGAGAAGGTCGTCAAATGATTTTTGCATGAAAACTGCGTTTTATATGTATATTCCGGACCAGTTTTCATTCAAAATCATTTGACGACCTTCTCGATTGAATTTTTTGCTCAAATTTGGTATGAATGAACTAGACTTGATGATGAACATACACAAAAAATTGTAGCCAAAAATACCCCCAGAACCACCTCAAAATGAGGTGGCTGGACATGAGCCTCCTCTGACCTGGCCGGACAGGAAGAGCTCTCTCTCTCTCTCTCTCTATATATATATATATATATATATATATATATATATATATATATATTACAAATATCCGTGTCCAGCCGGACCGGACAGGAGCTCATCCGGCCACCTCAATTTGAGTGGTTCCCGATGGTAGTTTTTGGTGAAACTTTTTTGTCTATGCGCGCTACTCAGTTTTTTGGTATTTTTCGTTGTTCATGAATGTATATAATAATACTAGTAATGTAATGTAGTTTGCTTGGATGGGTCTCCCTCTGTATACTATTTTGACCAAGGAGAAGGTCAGGGGCTAGACAACTGGCTCATTTTTTTAGAAGTAAGTTATGATTTATTGGTTAAAAGTTCGTGTTTTTAGTCTATTAGTTACACTTCACAGTTTTCAACCTAAGAGCACTTCTCACCTGATCCGCTCCATTATATGGTGACTTATTTAATTTGAAGGGAGGAGGGTGGTGCTCAACCCAAAGCGAGTGCAAACAGCGTTCCGAAACAAAGTATGGTTCGTCTACACTAAGGGATCAATACATGGACTTCGAGGCATCTCTCCTCTCCAACGACTCACAAGAAAATCCAAGTAAAATTACACCTACAACTTATTAATTAGTAGTGCCCAAAATATTAATTCTATACAAACTTATATCATATGGTTGACCACTTATATCCATACTATACTTATGCAACAAATTAAACTTGTGAAAATTAGCTATACTAGCTTTTATCATCTTGTTATTAGCAACATTAAGAGGTCGTTTGGTAACACTGTGTTTCAGTTTATCAGCCAACTTTTTCAACAAACAGTAACTTTTGTTTTTGCGCGCTGATATGTGTAATAAAAAAAAAGGTAAGGTTTGAGTTACTTTTGTATTGACTGAAGTTATGGTAGATGGTCATTTTAATTATTTTTACATATAATTTTTTCTTTATTTTATTAATAAAATATATTTTAAATATATTTTTTCTTAAATCAGCAGAATCAGCCGATGCAACTACTTCAGTCACAACTTCATAAAGTTCAGCAAAATCAATCGAACCAGCCGATTTTCATGTTATCAAACGAGCTCTAACTTTTTGCCTCGAAATCAATGTTCTAATTTCGTCGCACAAAAGTTGTTTAAAAATTGATAAAATCAATGTTCTAATTTCGTCTGATAAAGTTAGACGGCTTTTAGTTGATATTATGTAGTTTATATTTGGAGTGCTCATTATAAAACTTCTTCAATGCCAACAGTACTCAAAACCACTACGATGGATTTTTTGACAAAATTCTCTAAAAGGGATTAAAACAATATAAAATTCATAAGTAGGATTATCAATGTTTTATTTCTAAAATATCATTCATTCACTCCTATACAATGTTTTATTTCTAAAATCAATGTTCTAATTTCGTCTGATATGGTATGTTTAAGCTAGTTTAGTGTGAGAATGATCGATCATGTCCGTGTAAGAAAAAGTCGCAGACTCGCAACATGAACAGATAGAATCACTGAATTAGGCACAAAACATAAAATAAAACAAAAGTTAAGATATACTCCGTATATTAGTAGTTGAAGGCAAACATATACTTCCTATTTAAGATGTACTTAACCCTTTAATTTGATGTACACAATGAATGTGTTCTTGTCTTTGATGTAGAATTCTACAATTGGAATAGAGTTTATGTTCCATATTGTGATGGATCTTCATTCACCGGAAACATGGAGGCGGTTGATAGTGTAAGTAGCTCTCTAATAATCGGTTATTTAATAAACTTATTCACGATAATCACAGGTTTAAACTTATTAATTATTAGGAATTTACAAATTTCAATTAGGTTATGTTGATACTAAATAAATTCATTTCTTAATATCTCTTTATTTCAAGGTTACAAATGTAACCTACAAAGGCTTAAGGATATTTGAAGCGACAATGGAAGATCTCCTTGCCAAAGGAATGGAACGAGCACAAAATGTACGTAATTGACATCAGCCCATTTTAATTTTGAAAAGGGAGAAATAATTTAAATAATCCAAACTTTGAAGAGGTGTGATGTTAGCACCCCAGACATTTATATGTAATATTTATACCCCGAACTATATTTAAAAAGTAATATTAGTACCATGACATACATTTTTTTCTTTCACAATGTAAATTTATGACGCTTTAACTACACCTTTATAAATGTTTAAGTATTTTAAATCATGGGCTTAACACCAGTACGTTTACATTTTCGAATAAAAAAATATATAGTAATGGTGCTAACATAACCTTGACCCCATAACCTTTTATGTAAAGTTCGGGGTATATATATTACATATGTAAGTTTGGGGTGCTTAATTATACATCGCACCCCTTCAAAGTTTAGGATATTTAAATTAGATTCCCCTTTAGAAAAATGCTTGATGTACACGTTTTTTGTGTACACTTTTGACACATTTTTATGTCTACGCTGACAGAGTTGGTTGTATACGGACAATTGTGTAATGCCCCACGGAACTATCTATATACAGACAACTTTGTAAAGTCCCATGGAATTGTTTATACAGGGACAACTCTAATTTACACCAAACATCACTCTAATTTATTTTTAGCTTGATGGAGTAGTATACTAAAGATAGTGTTAATAATTTGCATCCCATCAAAGTACGGATCCATATTTATTGCTTTTTCACGATAAAAAAAAGGATGACACCCCATCCCTAAGATCCCTAAGAGCCCCCAACTCCGACCGGACGGTACGTTGGGAGGATGTAAATTGGACTATAATCCCAATCTGACAGATAAAGAGTGATGCTATGTCCCCGGTACTTGTAGAGGTCCTATGCATTTTAGCATAGTAACTCCTCATCGCAGTTGCCGGGATTCGAATCCGGGACCTAACCCTTGTGGGACTTCCTTGCTATCAGTTGAGTTACGCCCATCGATTGCTTTTTCATAATATAGATACAGGGGGCATCAAAATAGAAAGTTCATTAATTGAATATTCTAATAATAGGCCCTGCTAAGTGGAAGTTCAGCAGGAGGAGTAGCTGCATTTGTCCACTGTGATCGCTTTCGAGATTTGCTTCCCATCGATGCTACAGTCAAGTGCCTCCCTCGTCAGTCTAATTTTATTATTATAAGATATAATTTCAACTATATAACCAAAAAATGTATATTCACAAACTGAGCAAAATAAACACTCGTCAATATATTTCAAAAATGAGGTCACAAATTAAAATACTTCCTTCGTTCTTTAATTATTTCAACATTATGATTTTTGCACTATTCACTGATTTTACTTTGACCATGATTTTCTAGTAATATACATAATCAAATTATTACATATCAAATGTTATTAAATTCCTATCAATGTGAATTTCCAAAATATCAAAATTTTATAATGTTTACTAATACATAACTAAATATAATTACAATCAAAGTTGTGTGTTGGCAAACGAGAAAGTCAAACATGTGCAAGAATTAAAGAAGTATGAAGTATCGACAATGATATACTCCGTATAAGTTATTTATGATTCGTATTGATGTGTTTTAATATCTCAAGTTGGAATGAAGTTCCTCTAGCGATTACGATCCAAGTGCAATTTTGATTTATACAATGATTGAATGTCATACACCTTTTATTATCGCTTGACCAATCTAATGTGGATCAAATTCATTTATTACCAAAGTACACTTATTTTGAAACAACACAAACATGGAATTCAAGCAATGAAATCGGCGCAAATAATTTGTTTTAGAGCCAATTCCGATGCGGTGACGCCGCCGTCTTCCTACATGTTGCGGAGCCGCTGCTCTTCTGCATGGCAAGGCTTAAGTCAGTTTGCGATTGCGGCAAAGGAGGGCTGGGTGTAAGTTTGAATTCGTTGCCATTTTTTCGTAGTTCTGGAGTTTCTTTTCCGGATTCATTCTGGAGGTTTGGTCTCCCTCTTCTGTGGGGACGGTTTTTTCTCCTCGCCGGTGTAAACTTGGTCAGGTGTTTTTGTTGTTCTAATTGGACTATGGGGTGCGTAAGCTGGAATTGTCAAGGCCGGTAGGGCCGGTTCTGGGGCATGAGCAAGGAGGCGTGCGCGCATGGCCCATTGCTCCTGTAGGGTCCATAAATTTACCAGCTATACATATATTTAAATTATATATACATTATATATCTATAAACCTTTAAAAATAAAATAAAGTTTATAATTTTTATACTTCCAATTCATTAATTACTCAGCAATATCTAGATGCTACAAGTCTAAATTTTTGATACATGTACACCAAAATTTATTGGGAACAAACTTCACAATTCTACTCATTCATAAAGTGTTAGTGCATAAATGTTAATCTTTTCATCTACTTCTCTCATGTAAACACATGATTCATTCATAGCAATTTACTAATTTTCTTTGATTCTATAGTTTAAGTGAAATATTAAACTATAGTATAAAGAATTTAGAAAATTGTAGTTTATTTTAGTCAAGTGAAAATAATGTGATTTGAAAGATAAAAACATTACTCCATATATCATATAACATTCATGTCTATGCCTAACTCGTTTTTTTATTGCAAGTAACAATGATACTACTTTTTCATTTGATCAGTTTAGGTATATGGATAGTATATTCTCGAATGTGCGTAACTTATCAAATACTTAAATATAATCTTTCTAACCCTCTCATTTATTAATTTCTTTGTTGTGTTACATTCATATATAGATGACAAAACTCCTTAACTTTAATTATAGTTTTTTACAAGAAAAATAAACATTCACGTGTTCTTAAGGGCCTACTCTATCTATATTATCCTGGGTCCATAAAATGTCAGGACTGGGCCTGGTCGAGGGTTAGGGAACCTGGCCACTGTACAAGTTTTGACAGATGTTGTGTCGTCCCATCATCCCTCTATGGTCTTCTTGATGGAAACACTAGCCGAGCGCACAAAGGTGGAAGTCGTTCGAAAATCTCTGGGCTTTCAACATGCTTTCACTGTGGCTTGTGAAGGTCGGAGTGGGGGACTGGCCTTGTTATGGAAGGATGACATTACTGTTACAATAGAAAGTTTTTCCCGAAATCATATTGACACGCAAATAGCAGGAAGTATGAACGACGCTACTTGGAGATTCACATGCTTTTATGGATATCCGGAACGTCATCGACGAAGGGAATCTTGGGACTTACTCAAGAGTTTAGCTAGTCACAATGACCTGCCATGGTTGGTGGTGGGGGACTTTAATGATATCATGCATGCTTATGAGAAAAGAGTGTGTTGCCCGCAACCACCGTGGATGATGATGGGCTTTCGAGATGCGGTCTGGGGCAGCGGATTAATAAATTTCCTTTTGATGGTTATCAATTTACATGGGAGAGAGGATGAGGTACGCCGGCGTGGGTGGAGGAGAAGTTGGATCGTGTTTTGGTTTTCTGAGGGATGGATTGATTTGTTTGGAGATGCATGGGCTACGTCCGTGGTGGGTAGTAACAGCGACCACCTGCCGCTGTTTGTGAAATTCACCAAATGCGAGGCAAACCGAAAGAAGAAGGGGTTCAAATTTGAAAATTATTTGCTAAGGGAAAAGGATTGCTGCAGCACACTAGTAAGGGCCTGGGGAAGTTGCGTTTACCACCCTTTGCATATTAGGCTTCGATTCTGTGGAGAGGAGCTGGGTAAGTGGGGGAGACATCTACAATGTGGCTTTCAAAGACGTGTCGAGGGCTGTAAAAGGAAAATGGAGGAAATGAGAGGGAGGACGGATGTGGCAGGGCTGGCTATTTTCACGAAAACAAAGGAGTGCTATTTATCGTTATTAGAAAAGCAAAATGATTTCTGGAGGCAACGGGCTAAGGAGTTCTGGCTACAACAGGGGGATATAAATACAATTTTTTTTCATAACTCCGTTAAACAACGACGACGGAGGAATTTGATGAAGGGCCTTCGGTCAGACACAGGGGAATGGATCACGGAGCAACGGGCTTTACAGGAGTTGGTATCAAGTTATTATGAGAAGCTATTTACAAAGGGGGAGGATGTTCCGATGCAGGATATTGGCAGGTTTCGAGGTATGATATCGGATAACCAGAATTGTTTATTATTACAGGATGTGACAGCAGATGAGGTTAAAAAGGCAACTTTTAGCATGCATCCAGACAAAGCACCGGGCTCGAAGGGATTAAATCCAGGTTTTTTCCAACACTTTTGGGATATTGTGGGGGCAGTGGTTGTAGAGTTTTGTATAAATGTTTTTCGAATATGTCATTTGCCTAAGGGGTGTAATGACACTACTATTGTGCTAATTCCGAAGAAGGATAAGCCTCAATCTATTGGGGATTGGAGAGCGATTGCTTTATGTAATGTTGCTTACAAGATATTTGCTAAGATGCTGGCAAATCGAATGAAGGGACTGCTTGAGCCTATTATTGCAGAAGCCTAAAACGCATTTATACCAGGCAGATCTATTGTTGATAACATTATTATTGCTTTTGAGGTTCAACATTTTTTAAAGAGAAAAACTCAAGGCAAAGACGGATACGTGGCGTTGAAACTTGATATGAGCAAAGCTTATGATCAGGTAGAGTGGAGGTTTTTGGAGGTTGTTATGCAACGATTGGGATTTCATAGCAGGTGGATTAATCTGATTATGCAGTGTGTAGCCACTGTACAGTATAATGTACAAGTTAAAAATGAGATTGTAGGCTCCATTATTCCTTCTTGGGGAATTAGATAAGGGGTCCATTATCCGCCCTATTTATTTATTTTAATCGTGGAGGGTTTAAGTGCTCTCATTCGGGAAGGTGAAGCAGATAGGCATTTACAGGGGATACATATAACGCAAGGAGCGCCGGCCTAACCCATCTTTTATTTGCAGATGATAGCTTTCTGTTTTTTCGGGCAAATGAAGTGGATTGTATTTTCATTAAGGAGATGTTAGATAAATATTCAGGAGGGTCTGGCCAGCTGGTAAATTATGATAAGTCGAGTGTCAAATTTAGTGCAAACGTGGCCTAGGATGATAGAGATTATTTATGTAGCCTTCTTGGGGTTACGGAGGATAGAGGAGGAGGTAAGTACCTTGGTTTACCGTCACTGGTAGGGCGAAATAAGAAGGAAATTTTCAGTTACATTAAGGAGAAAGTAGTTCAAAGAATTCAGAGCTGGAATAGTCGTTTTTTATCGAGAGCATGGAGGGAGATATTGTTGAAGATGGTTATTCAGGCAATGCCACAGTACGCTATGAATGTGTTTCTTCTACCAGCTGATTTGTGTGAGGGGGTGGAACGTGTTATGAATGCATTTTGGTGACGAGGCCATGCTTTTAAAGGAAAAGGCATAAGGTGGCGGAATTGGTCTGATTTATGTGTTCCGAAAAAGCTCAAGTGGGATGGGATTTCGGAAGTTTAGGGACTTCAATGTTGCTATGTTGGGAAAACAGGTTTGGAGGCTACTTAAATATTCGGGGTCACTTGTTAGCAAGATTTTGAAAGCTCGGTACTTTCCTAGGGGAGACATGCTCGAGGCGGGCATAGGAAACAACCCCTCTCTCATTTGGAGGAGTATAGTAGCGGCTGTACCTGCAGTTCGAGAAGGAGTGATACACCGAGTGGGGGATGGTTCTTCAATTCGAGTTTGGAAGGACAAGTGGATTCCTAAGGAAATGGGGGGAGACCGGCGGAGGAAATTGTTAGCGGATTAGAAGATATCACAGTCAGCTGGCTAATGATTGTGGATGGTAGCAGCTGGGAGTGGGATATACTGAAGGATTTTTTCAACGATGAGGACCGCAAAGCTATCTCTACCATTCCGTTAAAAGACTCTAGAGGGGCAGACGAATTGATTTGGGCCGATGATAAGAAAGGAAGATATTCAGTCCGTAGCTGCTATAAAATGATATCTACAAAAGCATGAGTTACTCGGGCTTGGACTCGTGGTTGGAAGCTGGAAATACCACCAAAGATGAAAGTTTTCTTCTGGCAAGTTTGCACGGACTGCCTACCATCCAAGGAGAAACTATTGCAGTGTCGTGTACCATCCAAGCAATTTTTTCGATTAAGCCTACATTAAATAAACACGGTGGCATTTTGGTAAATATTGTGAAAACACGAAAAATTGCAATATACAAGCTTCATTGTGCAACACGTTGGGGTAATTGTGGTATATATATATATATATATATATATATATATATATATATATATATATATATATATATAGAGAGAGAGAGAGAGAGAGAGAGAGAGAGAGAGAGAGAGAGAGAGAGAGAGAGAGAGAGAGTATATGTTTATTCTTTTAAAGTAGGGATATTTTTAAGATTTATCCAATTTAATACTAATTGTTTAGATGTCTTCTCTGCATCGTAACTTATTTAACAGGGATGATTCAATGGGAGGAGGATATTTCGAGAATGCATTTGAGGCGTTGATTACCTTACATGTAATTACTTTCTGTATTTTATTTACACGAAATATGACTAGTTTTTTTTTTTAATTAAAAAGTTTCTAATACAAGCCCTAAGTTAACCCAAATTGATGTACTTTAATTAATTTACTATTTATGACATAACTTTACTTACAGGGATCAACCGAAGCCTTGCCCTCCTTGTGTACTTCAATAATGAGCCGTCCCAGTCTCGTAAGTTATACTTGTGTTAACTTATTATAAAGTTCTTTAAAAAAAACTTATTATGAAGCAGGGGCGGACCCACTAAGGGTCCCACGGGGTCCCAGGACCCCGCGTACTTCCAAAAAAATACCTATATATTTTATATATTTAATTTAAAATTTACTTATAAATGTATATATAACACAAAAATAACTATGAATCTCAAAGAATCGAGTAGAGCAATGGAGGAAAAACTTTAAAAATCTCTACTTTTCCTGGAGGTGTAAGGATCGATTCCCTCTCACTCCTATTCCTCTTTTTTTGGTTTATTATTGTAAAAGATCACAGCTACATCCTTTTGCCTTTTTTAAAAATCCCCAACTTTACACTTTACATAATTCAATTAATTATTAAAATTTATATTATGATTTTCGATTATTAAGTGAAGAATTGAATAAAATAATTGGTGAATATGAAATTAATTTGACTGACAATACACATGATCAATATATTTATTTTGAATCTTTAGAAGCTTTAATGGTTTGAGAAAAAAAATGTTGATTTGCATCTTAATGTTTAAGATGAGGTGCGTCATAGTAGGGACTATGAAACGTTGTACTACTTTAATATTTGGAATTTTATCAATTCAAAACTTGAAAGGTAAATGAATTATCAATCCGAGACCTGAAAGAAGAAATTTATAGATATAAGACTCAAATGATGAAAATTATCAATTTAGGACTTGAATGATTGAAGACTATCAATCTCGGACCTATATTGTCATGAATTTTTATTATTTTTATGTTAAAAGTTTTAAATATTATTTAGTTTTATTAAACTAATAAACTTTTGTGGAAAAAAGTTTATCAAAAATTAGCAAAGGAATTAATAAAAATATATATAAATCAAAATCTATGAAATCTTAGATCCTAGATTGACAATTTTCATCTTTCGGGTCCTATATTAATACATTTCGTCTTTCGGGTACCGAATTTATAATTTATCTATCTTTAAGGTTCTGAATTGATAAAAGTTCTTAATATTTTGATGATGTACATTAACTATGAAATGTTATGCTACTTTAATATTATATACTTACATTTTTTTAATTTGTTATTGGTTAGATTTACATTAAGGTAGGGACCCCGTGACTCCGATTTTCTGGGTCCGCCACTGTTATGAAGTATACTCCCGAAAAAGTTTCTATCTTTCTTTTTCGGATTGTCCCAAAATTAAAATTTGCCTTCAACTTCTTTCTATATTTGAAAATTTTTTATTACTTATTTACCCTTTTACCCTTATATCAATTCATTGACTTGATGTGTATTACCTCCATTTCATTATTCATTACCCCCTTTATTATACCAATTTGATTACTACATCTTTTAATTACCCAATTTTATTTCTTATTCTACCTAAAAACTCGTGAAGTCAAACTAGGAACTTGTTTGTGAGACGGAAGAGGTATGTGTTTACAGAGGCGGAGACCCTAAATGTATATGTATGAATATTTATAAGTGGTATAAAATATATTGAAATAAAAAACTATTGAAATTTTCAAACTTTGCTGTGTTTTTGGTTTAGTAGATAGCTAGTGTGTTGAAATCGTACTTAATGTTATCGATTTGCAACATTTTACAGTGTTTCTTCCCACAATACCTTACTTCTTATGTGAAGACACCAACCATAGCCATGTCATCCTTTGATCATGTACAGGTCAGACATTCGACAATTGTTCATACTTTATTTTAAATATAACTGATTTTTATTGTTAATTAGAAAATACGTAGTAAAATTTTAAGTAGAATAAATCTCTTAACTTTTTTTTAATAAACTTCTTAACTTAAACTACAAAAGACGTACGTTTGGGAAAGTTAGGGACTTGGGGAGTATTGGAGTAAAAGGCTAAAAGAAGTAAAAGCGCGCGACTTACTTCATAATTCATACTCCCTATTTGCTATTGTTTTTGTGCATGCATGCATACCCTTTAATTTTTGTGCTACCTCCCTCGGTCCGTCCCATAATTTACTTCCAAAATAAAGTGGCACGCGGATTAAGAAAGTGAGAATTGTATGATGGAGAGTTGTGCAGAGGAGAGAGAAATGATGTGAACCACAAATTCTTTGCCAAAAAAGGAAAGGGAAGTTCTTTTTTAGACGGACGAAAAGAGAAAGTTATAATTATTTTCAGGGACGGAGGGAGTACTATTTAAAAAGTCCGTAGAAGTTTCTAATTATATATTTGACATAATAATTATTAAGAGTTTTTTTAAACGAATAAATCTTTTTTAGAAGTTATACTAAGTAGTTTCTGATAGAAAATTTGTAGCTTTCAGCATTAATTACGCACAACAGCTTATTATACTAATTAGTATAATAAAACTATTATCAGTTACTATATCGAAGAAACAACCATTATCAAACAATTATGACATTTTTTCTTAAGATATTTTCAGACGCTAAAAACTATGAGTTACTAACCAGCTCAAACCAGTACATTTTCAACTAATTTATCAAACATAGACTTTATGAAGCGCAGTTATACTAGCTTCCATGATAGAGTTTAAACTAGCTTTAACCTTGATCTATTTAGTTAGTTCTTCAACAACAACAATATCCTCATATCCAAGCCTTAGTATACAAGATCGACTAACATGAATCAGATCCAAAAGGGACAGAAAGATAGGAAAGGGAAAAAAGGATAAGATATTATTGAAAAAAGATAAAAAGATAATATAAAAACATAATTTGTTAGTTGTTCAAAGTACAATAATTGTTAAATGAAATATAAATAATTGACTACTAAAAATTATGTTTATTAAAAAATGTGACCTTAAGTTGTTTTGATGTTTTTTACCTGGCCTGATTTCAGTCTCATACTAGATCATATCAGACTAGAACAGACCAGACCTTATTTAAAAAGGGACTACTATGTTTTTCTTTCCGAAATAGGATTTGTTACTATCATGTATGAAAAATACTGTCATGATTGAAAAATAATGTCATTGATTATAATAAATACTGTAATTTTAAATACATTGTACTGCAATTATTTGACAGTCACGCTTACAAGATGGTAGTAAATATTTTCATGTTAGTCCTATTTCGTGAATAAAAACATAGTAATCCTATTTTGGAATTGCAAACTCCATTCACTCCTATTTTGGGAAATCTCTCATAAGACTTTGATAGTTGCAAAATATACATAGACCACACATTTACCAGACAAGACCAGTTCAGAGTATAACTAATCTGATTTAAACAAAATAGATCAAACCAGACCAGATCATATTTAAATAGACTAGATCAAACCAGACTAAACCAAATCATAAAATTTTAGTGCAATCAAAAACGTCATCATGATGTTTTTACTTTGACTACTTTCAGTCCTAGATCGACCAGAGTAGAACAGATCAGACTAAATTAGACTTAAGTAGATCAGACCTGATTTAACAAACTAGAGTAGATATCTACCAGATCATATCAGTTCAGACAAAATAAGATTGGACTAGACCAAATCATATTAGAACACACCATTATTGCGTACTCCTTAATTTTAAAACACAGTAACCATTATTAATTTTACTAAAAGTAATCACGTCATTCTATTTTTGTCCACTCATTTCATTTTGATATTATATTTGAAACGCTTGTTTACGTAAATATGTAAACATTTCACGTGTTTTAAATTTTTTTTCTAATTAATGATGAACGACTCTTTTACTTTGTTAGATAAGGTATAACCTGTCTCCCGCCCATGAAACGTGTCTGCTAAATTTTAATTGCACATTGGAACAGAAGAAAGCTATACAAGGTTTGTGTAATCGTTATTCATTAATCATTTGGTAATATTGAAATAATTGAGTTAGCGGTATCTGTTGGAAATAATGCTATATATTTGGAAAAAATCGCGAAATAGGAGTTCAAAAGTTTGAAAAATCCAAAATAAGACTGTCATTTTCCCCCCAAAATAGGAATAATTATTGTCAAGTTTGAAAGAATTGTCATATTTAAAGTCTGGAAAGAAAACCTGCGGCCGTTTCCCTTGATTAAGGGTTTCAGTTTTTGCCGTCTTGTGTGCGGCGTTTAGATTTAGTCGTCCTTTGGAGCAAAGATTAGGTTAACAGAGAAGGAATTATTCGCAGGAATATCGTTAGGCGTGCTGTGGCGGCCGATGGAGAAGGAGTTGCGGAAGCCAAGGGAGGGAGAAAGGGAGGCGTCCAGGGGGCCTGAAATTGCGGGGCAGATGGAGGTTGCGCGCCAGGGAATCAATCGAGAGACGGGCGGGAGTTGTGCCTTGTTTGTGTCAACAATCATAGCGATGATCCGGCCTCCTCCTGAACCACCGCCAGGGGATGAACGAGGTGCTAGGATTCAAGATACTTGTTTTGCTTATTTAGTTTTTTTCTTGTTTCATCCTCCTCCTATTAGTTTTTATTATTTTATCATTTGGTTTCTTGTTACCGTCTATTTTGTTAGGTCTGTGAGTTTGTTTGGGAATTTAGCCTCCTTTTATGTCCTTGGGTATGTTTGGATCTATGAGAACAAAGATGACTGTGTCAAGCCCGCTGCATGGTTAGCGATTCGTGTTGCTCTTTCAGGGGTGACAGTCTCTAAGTCTGATCATAGGGTTTACAGTCGTAGTTGTTGGTGTCAAATTTGTTTTTTTATTGATGTAATGATCCTGAAACTTATTATATGAATAGAGGCAAACTTCCGTTCAAAAAAAAGTCTGGTATCAAAACATGGTCGCAGTAATTAATTGATTTTGGAAATAAAAACATGATAGTCCTATTTTGGAATATACAAACTCTTTTAGTTCTATTTAGAATGATTTCCTAATGTAATTCTACCCAAAGAACCTAATCCATAATGAAATACGAAAATACTATTATTTTTTAATAAAAATACGAAAATAATATAGAAAGTTGAACATGGCCACTTTTATTATATAAAAAATATCACATAGTTGAGCTTAACTTAAATAATTGGAAGTTCTAATAAATATTAATCTTAGATGCTTTATGTTCCCAATAACCAAATTTTCATGATCTAGAATTCTAGATCCATTACATTTATATTACATTTTCAGATTTAAGATGGGATTTGTTCCAAGCGTTGCCTAAAGTGCATTCCTTTGTAAGAGGATTTTGGTTTACTCACTGTATTGCTCATGAGTTGCCTTACAATTGGAATGATGTGAAGAAAATGGAAAGTATCATGGGCGATGAGGTAATATAAGTTTTTCTATAAGATATTTTAATGTCATTTTTTGGTTAATACATGTTTTTAATTGTTTATCTGATAAACTTATTAATTTACAGACACTCCCTCGAGTATTTGATGATTGGTATTTCAATTACCAGTATCCCCAAGTCATTGATTCATCGGATGAACCAAGAAATTGTTCTGACATTGGAATAAGGCCCAAATGACCAAGAAAATGTTCTGACATTGGATTGGTGATTAAAATCATCTTTGTTGAGGAAATCCATTGTAACAGAGTCATGTTAAATTTCTTATCAATGCTATTTTTAAAACATCATGATATCATTATGATACTCCATGGCATGTGTTGCTTGAAAGGGGCCCATTTTGATTCAAGAACAATTCTTCTTGTACACACTTTACTGTTTACATACTTCTACACACGGTTTGTGGAGACATTTTTTTGTCTATGATAAACAAAAAAACATTAACATACAGTCTGTACAAGTGTGTGTAAACAGTAAAAGTGAGTACAAAGACTTTTTGCAGCCCCCAACCGGAACTAGCCATTTGTTACCTTCACTCTGAACCCTCTCCTTAGTAGCTCTGAGACAAGTTCCAAACAGTCTAGCACTCCCCTCCAAGCTGCTCCACGTCTTGCAGGGACAACAGTTCTCTGCATGCCTGATTATTATGCAAAAAAATAGAAGCTAGATAATTTCTCATAGCTGAAAGAAACACAATAGCTATTACCCTCTTCCGTTTGCAAAAAAAAATCATTTTAGTAGTTTGTCTATATCAATGGTGGTTTGAATGCGCATAAAAGGATTCCACTTTTCATTAAAATTGTGCTCGTCCATCCTCATAATTTTTCCAACAAAATTACCTTTTTTTGCACTTTTTAGGGAGAAATAGCCTAACGGAATTCCATAAACCTGTATCCAGAAGTCTATTTTATTCAAAGCCACAGTCAACGATAAATCCCCTTCCTCAAGCTTTTTTAGGACAATCAGATTTTGATCAAATAACCATGATCCTTCAAGCGCCACTTTAATCATGTCACACTCATGATAAAATTGAAACATATAACGCCTAGTTCCAATATCTATTATGGTAACGCCCTTAACGGGTTTCCAAACTAACGTCATAGTGTCTCTAAAGATAGAGAAATGTACCGGTTTCTCCTATGTGATTGTGCCAATTAAAATCAAGGTTGCACCGCTTACCCTTGAATTCACTGCTTCCACCAAAATCGCTTCATTTCCCTCTTCCATCTCCATTCTTCCATAGGCTTGAGCAAGAGCCTCAATCTCTTCCTGATAATTATCCTCTGTTTAAAGAATCTGGCCCCGTAATGCGTGGGAATCTGTCGCGTGTTGCCATCGAGCCGGCGACGTGCATGATCGTTGCCCTGCGTCAATGCTGCTAGACTCCATCTCGCCGAAATAGCTTTGCTGTGTGGGAAACGTATTGCTGCGAAAGGAGACACTGCGGACGATGAGAAGTAGCCGCACCAAATCTCTATTGTCGAGATTTGGCGTGAGAAAGGATCCTTGCGGATGAAGGAACTGCCGCACCAAAACCCTAGGATGACCTAGCCGTCCGCCTTTTCACAATTAAAAGTTGTGATTGAGGATTGATTAATCAATCATTGTTTTTTTTTTGAAATGAAACTGATGTATATTAATTCAACTTATCATTCTCCAATCGGAGTACAATATAATCTGGGGGATAATGAAAAAATGCCACTCCATCCGACATAGAAAGGACAGCCCTCGCTAGTGTGTGAGCTACTCCATTCGCGGATCGTCTACAATGAATGACTTCTATGCTAGCTTCTTCTCGAAGAGTATGTCTAATGTCTTCAATAATAGTGTCAAAGTAGGACTCGCCTTCTCTATCCAATATGCTTAAAGCCATTACACTAGAGTCAGTCTCGAGCTTAACGCTTGGCCAACCTTGCGTTTTGATTTGTGCTAGTGTCTCCCGCACTCCTATAGCTTCTGATACTCCGGCGGTTTAATCGGCTGATACTGTTTGGCAACCTCCCTAGACGAAATTTCCACTTTCATCTCGGGCTATCCACGCCCATGCCCGTTTGCCCCGCCTGATGTCCAAAGCCGCATCGACATTAACTTTAATGGTGCCCGGTGTTGGCTTCTTCCAGCTTGGTTTACCATTCTCCGTATTCTTTGTTGCTAGCCCTTCCCGAACCCCTCTCCAGTTCCTCAACACAGCAGCCCCTATTTCCGCCACCTGACGCCCTCATGTGTCCTTGTGCTTCCATATTTTATCATTACGCGCCTTTCATAAACTCCAAACACAAGTAATAAAATAGCATAGATCCTCCACTTGTAAATTATCAAAAAAGCCTTGAATCCACTCGCCAAAATTCTCTCTTTGCCGCATGAATCTGGGGCCCAAAAGCTGCCAAACTGCACTAGCTTTACAGCATTGCTGAAATAGTTGTGCTTCTGTTTCAGCCTCCTCTTCACACATCTTGAACCATCTATCCATCTCTACCCTCCTGCTTCTTAAGTTCACCGCCGTTGGTAGTGCTCCGAACATTAATTGCCAAAAGAAACATTTTATTTTAGGGGGAATGTTCAATCCCCACATTTTAGTCCACCCTATCCATCCAACTGTACTATATTCCCCACTAAGTAATATATACCCACTCTTAACCGTATAGATACCTCTAGGATCCGCACTCCACCATAAGCCATCTTTGAGCTGCCTCGTGCTTAAAGGAATAGATAAAATAGCCTTCCTTTCCCCTTCAGAAAACAGGGCTTCAATTTTTTGGATATTCACCTATCCCCCTTTCATTTAATAGCGCCGCTACATTCATATCCGCTATACCTGCTGGTGGTGCCGAATGTACCATACCATCCCCCTGTCCCGGTAGCCAACTTTCTTTCCACACTGAAATCGATTGACCATTTCCAACTTTTCTTCGCATGCCTCGAGACAGCATCTCCTGCGATTGAAGTAAGCTACTCCATATAAAGGAGGGATTGCTCCCTCACTTTGCCTGCAAAAAATTAGAATTAGGAAAGTATTTTGCTTTAAAAATCTGCCCCACTAGCGATTGTGGCTGCTTAACAAGCCTCCAGGCTTGTTTTCCCAACATAGCGATATTAAACTCCCGTAGAGAGCGGTATCCTAAACCCCCTTTCTGCTACGGTTTGCAAAGAGTCTGCCATGTCATCCACCGGATACCCCTCTTCGTCTGATCCGACCCCCTCCACCAATATCCATTCATTATGGTCTCTATCTCCGCACACATCTCCTTCGGCAGTAAAAACACATTCATCGCGTATGATGGCATGGCCTGTATAACTGTCTTCAGCATAATTTCACGTCCCGCCTTTGATAAAAACTTGGTGTTCCAGCTATTAATTATTTTAATGATTCTCTCCTTTAAATACCCCAGTATATCCATTTTCTTCCAGCCTATCAAGGCAGGTAGGCCTAAGTAGCGTGGCCTGCTATCTTCCCTACAAACTCCCAAAAAATTGCAAATGTTGCCCCCCCGTTCATCACTTAGGTTTGGGCTAAACATCACTGGCGATTTTTGATAGTTTGCTTGCTGTCCAGAATTAGCCTCGTACCAATGAAGAATATTTTTAAACACCTGGCATTCTCCTTCTCGAGCTCTGAAAAAAGGTAGCTATCATCAGCAAAAAATAAATGTGAGACTCTAGGTGCCCCCCTCGCCACCGCAATACCGACAATATTGCCCACTTTTTTGTGTTTTCTAATTAATGCACTCAGCCCCTTCGCTACTATAATAAATAAATAAGGAGATAATGGGTCTCCTTGCCTCAAACCTCTTCTAGGTATAACTGGTCCCACCATATCACCCTCAAATGGTATATAATATTCCACTGTAGCAATGCATTCCCGTATGAGGCTTATCCATTTTCGATCAAAATTCATAGCTTCCATAATCCTTTCTAGAAAGCTCCACTCAACCCGATCATGAATCAATCATTGTTAAAAATAGGTTTTTGCAATTGTTTGTATTTGGAACACCCATAATTTTCATATCGGCCTAGTTTCCTTGACCAAATATTTCTTTACTCAAATATTGTTTTCTTAATTACTCGTGTTTTCTGGAAAAAACTTAAATATGAGTAAAATTCCCAATAAAAAGGAGTAATATGATTTCCCACTAATTAAGAATACTGTGATTTTTCCTATCGAATTTACTAGAGTTTTTTTTCAAAAATATTACTAAAATAAAACTTATTTATATGAATATGACTAATAGTTACTATAATAATATAGTGTCATGGTAACTTAAATTTAAAAATCAAACATAAGTTACTATAATTTCATTACTACTCTAGTCACT